TATTCTCTTCCGGCCTGCTGTGAACAGGTTCTCAGTAAAAGCTGGAAGAAGGTTTTTCACGAAGTCAGTTGTCCTGTAAGGACCTTCCTCTGTCTTTAGACAAAATTGTTAGCATTTTTTGCTCTCATTTGTAACAGTTTAGTGTCTGTTGCTGTGTCATTATAGGGCAGGTTAATAGCTCAACAGAGCAGAAAAATGTGAAATTCCACCCTGTAAGTTTTCTGCTTACAACTCTGCATGCTGAGGTACCAGCTTTTCCTGCTCAGCAGTACCATGAAGCACAATTCTAATGCAAGAAATCTTACAGATGGCAAAGCGAAAAGTCTAGGACATTTTACATTTTTGTGTTGTAGCTGGCTACATAGAAACCAGAGAGAGTCCTTTTCAAAGAGGAACTGAACCAAGACTGCCAAATCACTACACAGGCAATCCCAAGGACGTATTGTATGGTAACAATGACCCCAGCAAGTAAGTTCAAAGTCGTGGCTTCAGGAAAAAAAAAAATCTCTTTCTGGCTACTTAGAGCTTTTCCAATCCAGCTTTCATTTAACTTCAGTAACTCTTTTGCCTATGAAAGTTAACTAGCAAAAAAGTACTTTTTCTGTTTTGCTTCTTAGTAAGCTTTTAAGTGATAGTTTAAGCTATTTTATTTGCATAGCGAGGGAATAAAAGGACATGCCTGATCAGTCACCACATTTCACCTCAAGTGCCACTTTATCATTCTTGCTTGCAATCCTCTGGTCATAGCTCCAAAGTCTCTGATAACACTCAGAAAACGAGCTGTGAGGAAGAAAGAGCTTTGGGACAGGCTGCACAAAAAGACAGGGAAGAGCTAGTGGAGTGAAGAATGAAGCTTGGCAAAGGAGACTAGAAACTGGGAGTCAGCAGGGATCAGGAGACAGGCAGGCAGAGGCCAGAGGAAAGAGCTAGGACCTGACATCCAAAGAGCAGTGACAGGAGAGGTAGATGGGGACTAGCTATTTAATGATGGGACTGTAAGAAGAGACCTGAAGACCAGAGATTAGATCTGTCTGCATGAAGAGATTGGGAGTGAGAGAAATAAGCCAGAGTGAAGAAGCAGCAGAATGCTGGCAGTCTGCCTACTCACAGTGCTCGGTTGAAAGGATCAATGTCTGAGAAATGCCTGCCTCACTACTACAGGGTTTTGTAGTTGACTTTTTCTGAAGGAATCCTAAGCAAGGTGTCTTCCAAAAACTTGAAAGTTTGAATTTTAAATCATTGTTTGGAGAGATTCTTACAGAAAGATGTTAAAAAAAGAAGTGAAATGCATATCATTTTGTCTTTATGTATAAGAATGCCTTGTCCATCCAACCAAGAAAAATGCCTCTTCTATCTGGCAATGACAACACAGAAAAAATGACAAGAGAATGTGGACTGGTTACTTCTAGAAATTCAAAAGGGGGATTAAAATTGGGACTTAGATTGTAATTTACATTCACACGTCTGAGCTTCAGCATAGAACATCTTTGCTAAATCAGTTAGATGCAAAGCAAAAGTTACAAAATTGCATGTCACTGGCATTCCTCTAGAATCTGCAATCACAGATGTGTCTGTTCATCCATCTGTGGCTTTTATATTCCGCCACTATCAGTAGTCAAAGGGATTTTCTCAGAAGATAAAGGTCTTCAAGCAATAAATGAAAGATGCCTCTGAGAAAGAATCTGTATGTTCTCTTCAGCTCTGTCACTTAACAGGAACAACTCTAAGGAGAGATTTAGAGATTCGGCTCTCAAATTCAATTTAAGAAGTTCTTACCTTGGTAGGAACAGCCAGAGGCAAAGGGAGAAACAAAAGGGGTACAAGAATGATGATCAGGTATTTCCTGCAGGCTAGGGTCATCTGCAAGAAGCCAGCCATGGTGCTGGAGCTAGCCCAGTGCTGAAAGGCCTGAAGTCTGCTGCTGGAGACTATATAAACACTCGGGAATATTAACCATTGACCTTAGGAGGCTGGGTGTTGTTTTTGGAACTGTAATCAGAGAAAGAAGGAAGAGAACAAAGAAGGGAGGAGACAGCAAAAGAGTGTCAGACCAGGAACTTTCTAAAGACAATCTTCCTGATAACTGGTAAATCCAGGAAAGAATTAACTCCTTGTGGTCCAAGTAAGTTTATTAAAAGCGTCCTGAAATTACCTGTGCTTTGTTTAAAGAATATTAATGTTTTGATCTTTAATAATGCCTTTTTTGAATAGGTACCATTATTCTTCCTGTAAAAAATAGGAACGGCTTCCTCCATAATAGGTTGAAAATTGTTTCAAAAACCTGTAGAATACTGCAAAACACACCTGCATCTGTAATACTCAAATACAGAGATTAGAAACAACTACACAGAACGTTACATAAACATCATTGTATTCACTGAGAAATTCGTGGGTAGCAAAATCCACTAGAGCAGAGCTCCTGTCACCAGATGCGACATCAAGTCCCCACGCAGGAACAGACCCACTGTTCTTACCACCTGAGAGCAGGGCCACCCACCTTTCTGTGGTCCAAGGATGACTCTCATGACAATTCTGTTTTCTTCTACTCAAAGAGCAATAGGGGAAAAGTTTAGGTCTGGCCAGAACTCGGTTCCTCCCACATGACAGCCCCATATGTTATAAGAAAGGCTCAGGGCCAAAGAGGGGACCTAGCAACCCTCTCTGACATAGCCTGTTAGATCTCAGTGGATTGAGAAAGACCTGGCTACAGTCACTTGGCAAACATTGGGCTATTTTTTTTTTCACCTTTGTGGTCTTGCAAGTTTATAGGTATAGCTTTGGTAGCTTGCAGGGTGTACTGGGAAAAAAGCAGAAAAGGAAAAAAGAAAAAAAAAGAAAAAACAGAAAAAAAAAAGGGAAAAATAGTGCTACTGGGAAATTATCAGCAATTCTTGTCCCAGTTGCAAGAAGCTTCCAAAATACAAGCAGTGAATTACTTGGTTCTGTAAATACGCAGGAAGGGAATTGAAGTTTTTAATGCCAAAGGGAGTGTCTTGTTAATGTCACTTTGTTGTTTTTATTTGGTAGATGCAAGTGCATACTTCAGATAATGAAGATAACATTTCCATTTGATTGGTATAAATTGTCACAGCTCTGTTTATAGCTTACTCAAGCAGAGAGAAAGAGAGAAGCGCAGTCATTAGGTCATCTGATGCCAGCTCCACAAAGAGCTTCTGCTGTTACTCTCTCTCAGCCCCTTTCTGCTGTGGCTTGTTCTCTTTCAATAACGTGCTTATGATTGAAAAACAGTGGGGTTTCAGTTGTCAGAGCTGCAAACTCAGAGCTCTCTCGCAAGCTTGACTTAGGCATGTTGCTCACAAAACCAGCATCATGTTAAATAGCTGCCAGTTGTGAGCTTTAGCATTTCACCCTTGATACACAAAGAATGAGAAAGATCTTCCAAATTAATTATATCCTCAAGTGTTTTTGCGTCCACTTAGTGTTGAATTAGTGTCTGAAAAGATGCAGTGACAAAATGAGCCAATGGCAAAGTGATTTTTCCACTTTCTACTTTTATGTCCTAAGGTTGCAATGAAAATCTAAAAGGAAGCCTCTTGTTGTCACACCTCTGGAACACAAAGGTTGGCCTCCAGCTGCAGTCTTGCCTATGGGATGGAAGTAACAGCGCGGGAGGACCTCAGCTAACGCATCGTGCCTGTTCTTTAGAAGCAGCACGTCCACCGCGATCGGTTCCCCTGCCACGGGAGTCCTGTTACTCTCAGAGATGCTGTAGATGCGCTCGGTAAGTGTGTGTGTTAGTCCAGAACGAAGGGTTGAGGTCTTCAGGGGGACTTGTTTGAGCTGCACCTGTAGCCTGTGAACAGGGGTGATGCCAATTGACATCGGTCTGGAGCTACCCCGGTTTGTACAAACGGGTTGATCTAACACTGAATTGTCTGCTTCCAATTTAAAGAACTTGGCCTTTGCTTACCGACCTGCTCTTCGAGGCAGACCAAACCTACCAGCAAGCTCAGCGGCGCAGCCGAAACCCCTGGCGTGTTACAGTTTGGAAGTTATTTTGTCTTTTAGACAAATAGGTATTTTCCAACGCGCTGTGAATCGACAGAAGTGGTTACACGTTGCTAACCACAA